TAACTGAAACTATATGTCGTTTATAAGATATTACAATCCTTTTGCTTTTAAATGAATAAATAAGAAATACCCTCGGTCTGTAGCCCTTGGCTGGAAAGTGGTTTTGCGCAACTTCTCAGATCATGCGCTTTGAGTGGCGCCACCGTCGTTGTGTAATGCAGAAATAGTCAAATAAGATAATTGCATAGTAACCTAAGTAGTCAGAGTACGGACAAGCCTTTTGTGTAAACGCGCAGCTGACCTCGGGCGCTACCAGGCCGCTGAACCATGCAGCGTGACCAGAACCTAAGACAATAGGAGGGCAGTATATATATATAACCGTGGTGCACGCAGCACAGAAGAGAAGATAGCTGGCCGTCTCTACTATTTGCACTCTGACACTACGAACGTGGCAAGAGATATTCGTACTGCTTTCACCGTTGACGAAGACTACTATAGATATGTAAGTTCATGTGTGTATGTCGCGTACACAGCTGTACACTACTGTTCACTATTACGGGCATATATATGTTACCGTCATTACCGACTATTAAATATGTGTGTGTTTGAAATACGTACCTTCAGTGTTGGCTAATTTGTGTATAATGCGTACAGCGGTATATCTTAATAATATACGCAAGAACCCTATCGATCACGGGGTAACAAACTCATTATTACAATTGGTGCCGTGACCAGGTCCGTGCCAGGTGAACAGGCGGCGTATAGGTGACAGGTGAAGAACAGAAAGAGGATACTGGCGGCGATGACGAAGTTTGCCACTAAACCGTGGTACTCGGAGGTATTGAACTACTTCAGAAACCATACGTGTCAGTACACCAGCGAAGCGAGCGAGAGGCTCTTCGCTGTCGTGCACATACCCTCCTGCGTGCCCTTCATGGCGGCAAATTCCTGGAGGGCGATGCAGGTCCCGGCAGCCAGGAATGTCGAGAGCTTTCTATGCAACTTGTGGGCCGCGCAGCTCAACCTCGACGACAATTTGCTGATGATCCAGAGGGAGTGGGAGAAGGACTTTTGGGATCAGGTGGTGACGTCCGGGGGCGCCAACTTCGAAACTGCAGGGTTTAATGAGAACTACTGGGCGACGAAGGCGACGGACGTCTACCCGTTGGCGTTCTCGAATAAGTTGCAGGTCCAGCCGACGGGGGAGAACGCCAAGTACTGTGAGATGGACATTAACCTCTGGTTGGCAGACAACTATGCCCCTCAAGAAGCCGCAGCTGCTGCTTTCCAACTGGCTGAGATTCCTCTAGAGCACCATCAAGAGCTTGAGCACGCACACCAGCAAGATGAAGATGACGATCAAGAAGTAATGGATCAGGGGAATGGACCAGCACACTAGAGGGAACATCTGAATGTAATCTAGTCCCTCTAGTGATTAGCCTGGAGCACCGAGACGAGGAGGACCATTTTTGTTGTTTTAGGTCTCAACGTTCCAAGTCTCGGTGTGGCGTGTGTTGATTGGGAGGTGCTGCTTGGCATGTTAGTTCTACCATTTCTTAAACAAGCAGCACTAGCTCCAGCTCATGAAGGACAAGATAATCCATAATTTTGAAGTCCGACTCGTTTGCGATCTAATCTACCTCAGCAAGTAAGTGTCCTATTTAATGATAAATTAAAACATCTGTTTGTTGTCCCTCATCTATATTTTTATCAAGAACCACCAGGGGGAGTGGTAAGTATACAAGTGCTTTCTGTTTTAATATATATATCTGTATTTGTTGTCCTTGTACAAGTAGAATGTCGATTATTCTAGTGTTACTAGAAGATCGTCATCGTGCGGATGTTCGAGTAGTGCTTCAGGAACTTCATGAGCACGCCCGTGTAGGTGTTGGTCTTCCCTTTAAGGCCCCCTTTCTAGATATCCGGCCCGTTAGCCTTACTGGGAATATTAAGGTTAAATTGTTAAATAAGCGTAAGTGAACAATATCTGGATGATCATCTTTGAAATGATGATTAAGACTTCTGTCTTTTTCTGGCATTTCATCTACATTTTTAATTAAAAAAAAAAACTAAGAGTTATGCTAAGAGGTCTGCAGACTATAGAATACACCGTAGTTATAAGAACAATGATGTACGTGCGATGTATTGTGTCACTAGGTAATTAACAAACACATGTTTGTATCACGCACCATGTAGGTACACTATATGATTCACGATAATGCACTATATGTATTCACTATATTACACTCTATGTTACACTATGTTTAGCACAATATTTGCTACGACGCACAAACTCACATATTTTAAATGCATTGTTTATTGTTTTAAGCACGCTATTGTCAAGTGCCACTAATCACCGTTGTAATTACATGTTACGTTCACCTATCCTCTTTTGAGCACCTGCAGTCACTATACCAGCACCATTATGATGGAGGGATGCAGCACCAACGTGTGGCCTACGACAAAGAAGACACGATATGGTGGGACAATAGCGACATCGGCGAACCACGTCATATCGACAGTTACGTAGCTCGCCGCACCAACCAGGAGCCGAGCTCACAAGGAGAGCCACCCCACAAACAATTCGATGCGAGTCAGTTCACCCTACCCGCAAACGGTAGTCAGTTCACCGACCGCCACGAGGACAACCACGACCACGACGACCACGACGACAGCGAGGACAACGACGACGAGGAGGACTTTTACAACT